ACCTGGGCTCCTGAGCTATGCCTTGACCACTGCGCTTTCCCGAAGTGCCTGGCCCCTCCTGCTTCAGTCCCGGCACGTGCACTGCACCCTGACTATGGTAGGACCCGGTGGGAGGTACTTGAGTGACTGGAGCAATAGCACAGCGGGTAGGGTGTTTGCTTTGCACTTGGCCTACCCGGGTTCGATTCCCAGCATCCCATATGGTCCCCCGAGCACTGCCAGGAGTGATTCCTGAGTGCAGAGCCAGGAGTGATTCCTGAGTGCAGAGTCAGGAGTAACCCCTGAGCATCGCCAGGTGTGACCCAAAAAGCGAGAAAAAAAAAAAAAGGTACTCGCGTCTGGTCCGATTTTAATCCTGTGGCAGGAGGTGACCACCAGGGTTCATGTCAGGGTGCCTAAGACCACAGGAGCTCCAGGAGTGCTGGAGCCAGGATCAGATCCTTCTGGCACCCCTCCCACTCATCAGGACCCAGGTGGATTCACTTTCCCTTAGACCTCTAGCTTTGACCCACCTCTGGCCTGTGATTCCTGAATTACTTCAGTCAACAAATCTGGAGTCCAGAGACCAGAGCAATAGTACAGTAGGTAGGGCATTTGCCTGGCACACAGCCAACCCAGGCTCAATCCCCAGCAGCCTGTATGGTCCACAAAGCCCACCAGGAGTGATCCCTGAGCATAGAGCCAGGAGTAAGCCCTGAGCACCACCAAGTGTGACCCAAAAACAAAAACAAATCAGGAGTTTCGGAGATACATGTCAGACGTGCTCTTGGTTCTTGGGCTATCCGAGTGAATAGAGCAGCAACAATTAACTGTGCCAATGGAACTAGCAATGGCCAATGTGACCCTTCTAGCCAGTATCGTTATTAGGGTGTGGACAGGAAATTCCATCTTCAGCCTCCTGCATGTGGCACTGTAGCCCTGTAGCACTGTCCTCCCGTTGTTCATCGATTTGCTCAAGCGGGCCCAGTAACGTCTCCGTTGTGAGACTAGTTGTTACTGTGTTTGGCATATCGAATATGACACAGGTAGCAGGCTTTGCTGTGCGGGTGAGATACTCTCCGTAGCTTGCCGGGCTCTACAAGAGGGGTGGAGGAATTGAACTCGGGTCGGCCTGGTTGGCTGCATGCTAGGCAAACGCCCTACCCGTGGCGAGCCTGCGGGACGCTGCGGTGCCCACCCGCCATCGCGCCCCCTGCATGTGGCGAATGACTGTTTTCTCTCTTTCTGTTTTTCCAGGATGGTTTTTGTTGGTTTTGTTTTGGGGCCACCTCCAGCTGTGCTTAGGCCTTTCTCCTGGCTCTGTACTCAATTGTCACTCCTGGAGGAACTCAGGGACCTTGTGGGATGGCAGGGATCAAGTCGGGTCCGCTTCATGCAAAGCAAATGCCCTGCCTGCCCTCTGTGTGTGTATGTGTGTGTGTGAGTCAACACAGTGATACTCAGGAGTTACTTCTGGCTCTGCACTCAGTAGTTCCTCCTAGCAGTGCTCAGGGGAATTTATGGGATGCCACGGATCAAACCCAGGTTGGCCACATGCTGGGCAAGTGGCCTGCCTGCTGTGCTCTGCCTCTTAAGCCATTTCCCAACCCCTCGAAGCTATGTCCTTAACTGAGGCCTTACAGAGGATTTACCAGTTAGAGGAGCAGGGAGCCAGAGAGATAGTATAACAGGTAGGCTGCTTGACTCCGGTTTGATCCCTAGATCCCATATGGTGCCTGGAACCCTGCCAGGATTGACCCCTGAGCACAGTTAGGAGTAAGCCTTGAGCACCGCTGGGTGTGGTCCCCAAAACAGAGGAACAGCTTTTGGGAAGTGCTGTCTTAGAGAAGTTGCATCAGCTTCCCAGTCATAGTGAGACCTCTTTTCTCACAGACTCTCCACCATTTCGCTTTTTGTTCATTTACATTTTCCAGGCTGACTTTAAAATTTCTGAGGAATGCATCGCACAGTGGAAGCAGATCGACTTCATGACCAAGCTGGGGTGCATTTCCTGTAAATCACTGAAAGGAGGGAACATTAGCTAGCCAGCCAAGCACCACCTCCTCCCGGCATTCTGATCATCTGTCAGCTGTCTCTTCCCCTCCCAGGACAATGAAGCAGGAACTTGGGGACTCTGTTGGGTGCAGAATTTGGTGAGGGGCAACTCCCCTTCCCTGGAGCCAGGGCCGTGTGGCCTCCCGGTACTCACGGGGGGCTGGGCAGGGAACATTTCTCTGTCTTCCTTTGGCAGGGAACTTGAAAATCTGGTCTCAATAGAACTCTTAGGAAAAAAGTTTGCCACAAGCCTCCTAATGGGAAAAATCTTGGTTTCCAGGTTTTTCCTAGAGTTGTTCCAGCAGCTGTGCCTCTAGCTGGGATCTGGTGCCTGAATTGGACTAATTACAGCTTCTCCCCAACAGGAAACTGTGGGATTTGGAAAGGGAAGGGAAAACAGAAACTATGGTTTACCAAGTGGTTGGCAGCCTTTTCCAGGGCTTCCCAGCCCTGAGGCTTGGCACTGGGGAAAGGGCCTACCTGAGGGCCTCTGTTACCTCCCTTGATCCTGCTAGGCGGGGCAACCCCCGGAACCAGCTGTGCCCAGTTACCATCGGAGGAGGGTGGGCAGCGGGACCTGGAGCTTTCCTCAGAGAGGGCAGGTACTTCTCCTAAAGGCTTCTCAGAATCACGAACCATTGCTCTCATGAATTCAAATAAAATGTCTGAACAAACATGTCTGTGTAGGGCTTCTCTGGGCCAGACCCACCTCACAGGAGCACTGGTCCCAAGTGCCGCTGGCATGAAGTGCTGCCCTGCTCTTCCTGGCCCGCAGAGTGGATCTCTGGTTTACCAAGTGGTTGGCAGGGCAGAGGCTGACGTCCAAAGCCCCCCCCCCCACCCCACCCCGGGCTCCTCACTGGCAAAGGCAGAGTGAATAGAATGCACCTTGAGCTCCCCAACCTTGCCCCTCAGCTCCTCCCAATGTTGAGGCCTGTGCCTAGAGGCCGCTGCAGAAAGGATGTGTACCAAGACGACCAGAGGAAGGTTGGACAGGCCCTCTGCTCCTTTCACCTTGGCCGGCCTTCTGCAGAGCTACGAGGAGCACGGCTTAGTCACAGCCCCCAAAGGTGGGATTGGGGTGGATCGAATACACTTGTGGACATTCTGCTGATCCAAAACCTACAGAACAGCCTTTTCCCTCTAAAAGTGGACCCAGCCAGAAAGCTAGCATGTGCCTTTTACAGGGGTGACCGGGTTTGATCCCAGATGTCCCATATGGATCCCTAAGCTCTGCTAGGAGTGATCCCTGAGCACCAATGGGTGTGACCCATTGGTGACCCCAAAACCAAAAAAGACACAGCAGCCATGCCAGAGAGATAGTACGGGCATTGAAGGCACCTGCTTTGCATGAGTTTCCCAGCGATGCACAGTTCTCCCGAGCACTGCTGGGTGTGCCCCCTCAGCCCCCTCCCCCCCAAAAATAAAAGACAGTAGCCACCACCATGTTTGAATTGTTTAATTAATTAACACCTTTGAAACAACTTTCTTGTGTCTCAGGCTTCAGGACAGGGAATGGATTTTAGAGACGTATCAAAGACTCAAAAATTTAAAGAAATATATATTTATATATATACTTCTCTCTTCTAACATTTTCGTGGAAATTAAAAATGAGGCTTTTGGTCTCTCCATTTGCACTAGATTAAGCTCATTAGCCCAGAGAACAAAGGAGGGTCACCTCTTCTAGACCCTCCCTTTAGACTGTCCCCATGGGTACGGAAACAAGCGGAGGATGAACTGAGAAGCAGGAGTTCAAGTGACTCGGGGCGGGGAGTTGGGGGGTGGGCGCTCTGGGCAAACCAGCGCTTACTGACCCTGTTGCTAAGTCACCGGGAATATGCCATGCAGGCCTCAGCAGTACCTTTCCGTTACCTGACGGAAGAACATTGGTTTCTAGCTACGGGAAGAAAACGGTTGGAAGGGCCGGAGTCACTGGGCCCTCGTGCCACATGCCCCGGGTCCCCAGCTCCTGTTCTGGGACAGGGCAGTCTCCCCAGGGGAGGAGATGCAGCTAAAAGGGAGGTTCCCAACCAGGACCCAGCCCAAGTCACTGCTGTGAGAGGATCAAGACGGGGTGGCAGGCACAACGCTGTGGAAGGAGGCACTAGGGCCACCCCTGCGCGGCCACGGGCCGTGGGGACACCGGCTTACCTAGACAGGTGGCACAGGCTGAACAGAGGTGTTAAAGGTCCCGGCGGGGAGCGCCAGGGCAGAGGCTGACGTCCAAAGCCCCCCACGCTCCTCACTGGCAAAGGCGGAGTGAATAGAATGCACCTTGGGCTCCCCAACCTTGCCCCTCAGCTCTTCCCAGTGTTGAGGCCTGTGCTGAGAGGCTGCTACAGAAAGGATGTGTACCAAGATGAGCAGAGAAAGGTCGGACAGGCCCTCTGCTCCTTTCACCTTGGCCGGCCTTCTGCAGAGCTACGAGGAGCACGGCTCGGTCACAGCCCCAACTGTCTCCATGTGCTATGCCCAGCCCAAGTGGAAGTAAGAGGCAGAGGCGGGGCACTGCCAAGTGCCCACTGAGATGATGTCCTACTCGGTTCTCCCACCAGAGGTTGTTCCCAAACACCCTCCTTGCATGGAGCACCTGGCAGGACTGGAAGGCAGGAGGGTGGCTGGGGGGTAAGTTGAGGCACAGGAAGGCTAACCCCACACTGCGCCTTTTGTGCTTTGGAATTCCACAACCTCAAGCCCGGGGAAGCCTGCCGGAATACAGTGACTCACCCACCTCCTGGAACCAGGAGAGTGAGCAAGTCAGATTGGAGGGAGGGGACAGTTTGGTCCCAGCTCTAGGCTGGTCATCAGGGATTGATGCTGCGGCCATGTAAACAGGCCCTTGGAATGTGGCTTCCAGGCCCTGGAGGATGGACATGCAGCCGCTTTTCAAAAGTGCTTTGATTCTGATTCTGGACTACATACAGTATGTGCATGATTTTTGAACACGGGGGGGGGGGGGGGGGGGGGGGGGGGGGGAGTGAGATGTTCTGCTACCAACTCTGTGGCCTGGTGGTCAGCAGGGGGCGCAGCCACCCACTCCACCAGCCTCTCTGAGAAGAGACCAAGGCCAAGATGGATGTGGCAGCTGCCGAGTGAGTGGCTCCATTCCTGGGAAAGGCATGAGAGCTGGATGAACTTGGAGGAGCGGGTCCACACCGGGCTTGCACACAAGTCGAAGGCCGTGGAGGCTAAGGCTGCAGGCATCTTCTCTAGGGTTCAGCACCTGCCACATCCTCTCATCCTTGGAGCTGCTCAGGTCCCTGAGATTGTAATCCTGGCATGGGTCAGCAGTGCCAGAGGGGGCCTGGTGGTCAGACCTCTTTCTGTGGGTCTATGGGGGTAAAAAAAATATGCACTGAAAACCGGGGGTGCCAGCTCATCAGCCCACTAAGACCCCCAAGACACATTCCTACTCCCCTTTCCTCATCTCTCCATTCACTAACCAAGCCAGCAGCACCAGGCTAGCTTGATGGACAAGTCCCAGACCCGCTGGTGGCATACCATGCCACAGAGGAAGAGGGTGAGTTGGCATTGACAGTCCCTAGGACCGCGTTCCCGGTCTGGAGATGAGTCAGTGGCAAGACACAGGCCTTGTATGCATGAGCCCCTGGGCCCCATTCCATGGTCTAAGAAGCAGCGCACCCCTTGAGAGAGGTAGACCCCCACCCCTGTCCAGCAAGCTCAGAAAAGCCTCAGAGTTCTATGCAGGGAGACAGCTCCCAGGGCCGCAAGGCGAGGTTTTCAGGCAGGTGGCCTGGATTTAGCTCCAACCCCCCTGGCCCACCGGCACTGCAGATGACTCCCCAAGACTAAACCTTTGGCAACCACTATGGCACTCAGGGCTGGGTCCCCCCGCCCCCAGCCTCTGTACCTGAACCAAGAGGGCCCAGCTTCTGCTCTTCTGGGCCCCCCAGCAGCGGGACACCTCCGTTCTCTTCCTTAGTCCTGTCTTCGGCGGGAGGGAGCCCATTGGTAGGCGTGGGGACTCCCACAGAGGGTTTACGGGCCACGGGGGGTGCAGCTTTCGGTGACTTCTTTGTGGCCTGGGGAGGCCGCGGCTCTGAGATACTCCGCAGCTCGGCCACCAGATTCCGCTGGAGGTCAGCCTGGGCCTCGGGGGACACGGGTCGCTCTAGCTGTAGCTTCTTCGTGCCCTTTGAGAAGATGAAGCTGGCCATGGAGGCCGGGGACTGTGGCCTCTGGGGCTCTGCCTCAGGGGGTCCGTTGGACTGGGCGCTTCCAGGTCGCTCACTGGCAGCCAAGCTGGAGGCCTTGAGTCGGACGGCCGCGTGGAGCCCCGAGGAGGGGGCTGTCACCGGGCTGGCCCGGCCAGACAGGGCCCTTCGTAGTGGCTTCTGGGGGGCCGAGGGCCCTGGTGCTGGGGTGGGAGCCCCCGTGGGAGCCCCTACAGAGCGCAGACGCACCATCTGCAGGAGCGAGGGCGTGACCAAGGGTGCTCCGCCAGCGTCTTCCTTGGGCACCCCATTGCCTTTGCTGCCACTTGCTGGCCCAGGCCCTGTGGCAGAACTGGCAGGTGGGGGTGCGGGTGGAGGGCCTGGGGGGTTGGGGGGCTGGGTTGGGGGAGAGACAGGAGCCGCCGGAGAGCCGGCCACAAAGAAGGCCTCCTCGGGCGGGGGGAAGTCGGCCATGGATAGATCCTGCTCCTCTGGGGCAGGGGGTGGGGGCGGGGGCCAGCTGGGGTCATGGGGGGGCTCCTCTGTCGACTCGGGGGCTGCCACAACCACCTCTGGCTTCTTAGCAGGAGGTGGAGGGGGATGGTAGGAGGGAGGCGGGGACGGGGGTGGGGACTGCTCTTTGGCAGCAGCAGCAGGGGACTCCGGAGGGGCCAGGGAGGTCTGGGCAGTGGGGGCAGCCTCGGGACTGGTATCAGCGGCAGACACCGACCCAGTCGGCACCGTGGGGACAGCTGGGGCAGGGTCCGCTTGCTTGGGGCTCTTGGACTTGGAGGGAGGTGGGGAGAAGGGGGCAGCCACCTTGGGATGAGGGGGAATGACAAACCTGTCCCCCAGGGCCGCTGACATCTGCAGGCCAGAACGGTCAGCGGGGGCCGGGTCCGAGGAGGAGGAACACAGGGACGTGAGGGAGGAGGAGACGGAGGCCCCAGGCGAGCGAAGGGAAGTGACCCGCTCAGGTTTAGGGGGCTGTGCCCTGCCTGGAGAAGCGGGCGCTCCCGCTAGGCCCTTCGGGGGGAGCGTCGGGGTCCCACTTTGGCTCGAGTAGCCGCTGGAGGGTGAAAGTGTCCGTTCTGGGGAGCGTGGGGGGCGCCGGGACGCGCTTGGAGACGAGCCAGGCCCCCAAGTGCCGGCAGCGCTGGAGGGACAGGGCGCTGGCCCCATCCCGTCCGCCTCCCCAGTGGGCGGGGGCCGGGGCAGCTGCGGGGGCAGCTTCCGCTCGGGCTTGGGCGGCAAACCCAGGGGCCCGTCGGGGGCCGCTGAGCCCCGCTGGTGCAGCGAGTAGGTCCGGCGCGGCGGGGGCGGGGCGCGCTTCAGCTTGCGCAGGGACACGCTGCGCCCCGACAGCTGCCCAGTGCTGCGGCTGCTGCCCGCGTCCGAGGCGCCGGCGGTGCTGCCCCCGCTGGGGGAGCCGCGCCCGCTGCCGCCCTGGCCAGGGGCCGCCGTGCTGGTGCTGGCCACGGAGCCCTCGGGCCGGCCCTCGGAGCCGCCCTGGGAGGAGAGCGTGGAGCCGTCGGACACGATGGTCTCCGAGGACTGCGAGTGGCTCCAGGTGTCGCTGGAGGAGGAGGGGTGGCGGCTGCGGGGCCACGGGCTGGACGCCGAGGAGAAGCGGCCCAGAGAGTGGACGGAGGCCGGGCTGGCCGTGAGCAGGCTGTGGCGGCTCAGCGTGCGGACACTGCGGCGGTCCAGGGCCACCACGTCCACGGTGGGCGGCAGCACCGCGTGTGGGATGAGCTTGGACAGGTAAGTGGCCTGAGGGGAGATGGACATGGCCGGGCTCAGGGGCTCGGCGGGGCCGGCCCCTCCCGTCATCCCAGGCACGGCCAGGGACATGGGCCGCAGCAGTGGAGGGGGCCGCGCTCCCGAGGAGCAGCCCACGAGGGTGTCGTCCCGGTAGACACGGTCGATGTGGCGTTGCACCAGGGCCTCAGTGTCCGACTGGGCCTCCAGGGCCTGCAGGGACACCCGCACCCCAGAGGCCGGCCCTGCCGCTGGGTCTGCTGGGCGGCCATCCACCGTGGGGATCCGGACAGCATCCCGAGGGCCAGGAGGCCGGGGGGAGGCAGGGACCTCACGCTCACGCCGGAGGCCTGGAAGGGACAGAGAGGATGTGGGGGTCAGCGGACAGGCCTGGCCAGGGTTCCCAGCACCCAAGCCCCCTCCCCGGGGAAGCCCAGGCTCACCCAGCTCCTTCTGCTCGTGCTGCGGCAGACCCAGCACCGTGCTCCGCCGCTTCTGCCGCCTGCGCCCTGGTCGGCCCGACTTGGGGAAGGAGTCATGAGGCCGGAAGGTGGAGCCTGCGGGCCACAGCAGGGGAGAGGCAGCATCAGACACGCTGACCTGTGCTGACTCTGCTGACCAGCCCCCAGGCAGCCTCTCCCTGAGCTCTCCTGACACCGTCTCCGAGGCCAGGAGGCCTAGGCACCGCTAGAAGCTGTGAGGCTGTACTAGGCACACAATTGTTTCCACTGGTGGACACTTATTATGCACAGGTCAGCATGCTGCCTCCTTCTCTTCAGCCCAGTGAAGGACACATCCCCGTTCCTAGAGCCGCTAGGAAGGGCCGGCACCAGGTCACTCAACCCAGGCAGCAGTGCCCAGCCCAGATGCACCCTGGACCATCCTGCCCTGCCCTGCAGATGGGCCGAGTCAGGAATCTCCTGAGGACACAGGGTACCGCGTTCCCACGAGCCCTGGATCTCAGAGTCTCTGGAAGGAAGAAGGTCCCCTGCAGCTGCTGTGCACCCCACTCCTCACAACCCCCCCCCCCGCCCCCCGTGAAGCCTGGCTGGGGAGCAGAAACCTTTGCGCTGGATCATCTCCGAGCGGATGGAGAGCGCGTCCTCGGCCGTGGAGCTCTCGGTCGTGTAGGACGTGGACTGGCTGCAGAAGGAGATGCTGTCTTCATCGGGCCCGGTCTGGGAAGACTGTCAGGGAAGACAAGATCAGAGCAGGCCCAAAGGCGGGAAGGGAGCGGCCTGGAGCTGACTCCAGGTTCTCCTGTGGCCCCACATGGAGGGCCTACGCTGGCCCTCCCGGGGATCTCGCCTAAGGGGAGCCGGAGGCCCAGAAGATGCAGAGACAAAGCTTCCAGAGGGCAGGCAGGGAGGAGAAGGGAAAAAACGAACCCAGCTGGGGCAGGGCTCACCTGGATGCTCTGCGTGTCTCCATGGTCCCAGCCACCCTTGTTGAGTTTCTGTTTTTCTAGAAGACACCAGGAAACAGGGTTGGAGGGAACCCCGCCACGGGGCGCGAGAGGGGTGCGGAGCGGGAGTGGGGAGCTACCTTGGTACTGCAGGGAGCGGAGCCCCTCCTGGGCCTGCGTGTGCAGTTCCTCCAGATGTGGCGGCCGCCCGCGGGGGAAGAAGACATTGTCCGGGAGATCTTCGCCCACGGCCCCTGGCCCCTGGCCTGGTCCCCCACCTAGACGTTTGTCGTTCTCAGTCTTGGCGGAGCCTGGTGGGACAGAGGAGGAAGAGAAGTAAGAAGGCGACTCTAGGGATGCCCGGGCACCCCATCTCCAGCTGCACAGTGCCCACCCCCAACACTTCTGGGGCACGCGCTCACTGCAGTGGGGCCCCATGACAGATACAAACCAGACCCACATGCTGGTTTATCTGCTGACACACGCCAAAGGCCTGGATCACATGGGCCCGTGACGTGCACATGACACCCAGGAGCTTCGGGCTGTGCACCAGGGCAGACTGCAGTTTGCACAGGCAGCGCCCGAGGGGAAACTGTCTAAACAGTACACACATACAGCAGCCCCCCGCCCCGTCCCATCTGTACAAACACAAACAGCACCCATAACATACAACATACAACTGGCTATCTACATGTCCCTCCACGCCCCACACCCCTCGCTTCCCTCCACCACCCCCCCCCCCCCCAGCAGGCCATTTCTCTGGTCTCCGACCAGCGCCAGAATTAGCTTTTCACGTACAGCCCCCTTGGTCCGCACTCTAGGAAGACACCACAGAGGACACCAAGGAGGGGCGGGGAGGGCAGGGTCATACCCAGACACCCAGAAGTGGGGGCTGGCCGGGAGGGAAAACAAAAACCAGTTCAAGGCCAGTTGGGTCTGCTACTCACCCATGTGGCTGTCCCCTGGCGGAAGGATGGGCAGGCGGGGAGAGGAGGGATCTGGGGTGGGAGCAGGCCCGGGTATGCCCCTCTCAGCCGCCAGGCCCCAGCCCCAGGTGCTGAGGAGCCGGAGATCCATTACAGAGGATCCAGTTACAGGCCCTGCCCCTGGGAGAGCTGGTCACCTAATCCCGGGAATGGGGGGCTGCGTCAGCGCTCTGCGGCCCCAACCCCCCTGTACACGGAACCAACAACATAAGCAAAAGCTCTGGAGGGTCACGTGGCGCTGGCAGCCTAGTGTGCGGACACAAAACAAGCCCTGTAAGGCCACTCCCCAGGCCCAGCATGGGGTCCCCCTCAAACACCCCCTTTGCAACAGGGGAGCTCCACAGGGGTCCTTGGGGAGCTGCCAAGGTCAGAGATCCTAGATCCCAACCCCCTGCTTTCCAAGTCAGGGACCCCATCTCCATGCCGGAAGGCCCTGGGCTAAGGTCCACGGGCAGATGGGTCCGAGGGGGGCAGGATGGAACTTGGGTTCCCAGAGGGGCCCCTGGCACACACTCCAACAGAGAACCCTCTGGCCTCCTGAGTGGCCCCCAGGCTGTCCCCCAGGCTATCCCTGTGGCAGAGGGAGGAAACTCCATTCCCAGGAGAAAGAAGGGAGTCTGCCTCCTTCCAAATTCCACCAAATCCAGGTCTCGTGGCGAGATTGGAACCAGGCCCCCCAAATTCTAGGGCTCGCTGCTTCCCCCCCATACTGCTCTGCTCCCACATTCCTCCCTGCAAGGCCAGCCTAGCCCGTGCAGTCTTGGGAAGGCAGCCGGCTTCAAGGTCAGCACCCGGGTCCACGTGGCCAAAAGGCACGGATTCAGACAAAGGTGACAGAACAGCTGGACAAAGGTGGGGCGGGGTGGGGGGGGTTGGAGATTCCCACACACACAGCAAACAGAGGAACTGGGATGCTCCTCTCTCCCCTGCCACACCCACCCACTCACCCTTCTTAGAGAGTCCAGGGAGCACCGGGAGGCGGCAGCCCAGCAGCACTGCCAGGCCTCTGCCCATCACCCCAAGACCCGCCCCCTCCCCGGGGCAGGAAGAGGGGACACTGAGGCCTGCTGCGTGAGTGCCCAGGGCCGATGTGACTCCATTCCTGGAGCAGACCACTGGCCTGCACCCCAGGTCCTCGAGGAAATAGTCAAGAGCCAGCAGGGAGGTGGAGGGCTCTGTCGCCAGATGGCAGGTGGGGAGCCACCACACTTGGCCTGGTGCCCAGCCCCCAAGTCCTGATGAGGGTGATTCCCTGGGGAAGCCCAGGATGCTGCAGGGACACAGAGGCCATTGGCAGAGGTCCCTGGAGGGGTGGGGGGCTGGCCCAAGGAAAGGGCAGGGGAGACTCTGGGAGTCCAGGGGAAGGTATTTAACAACTTTCTTCAGCCCCTCATCCCAAAGGCTTTGCTTCCCTCTGGTGAGGGTCAGCAGCCCAGAGACACTCATGAACTCCAGGAGGTCACACAGCAGGCCTCCTCCTCCAGCCTTCTCCCCATGGGGCACGCTCTGCCACTCCGACTCGGGGCAGGGAGAACACACAGAACTGGCTGGAGTCAGGCTGGAGGTGACAGCACTGAGAGAGTTGGGGGGGGGAGAGGTGGTTGGAGGGATCAAACCCAGCTCCAGAGGCAGGAGTCATGGCCTCATATGCAAACAAGGCCAACAAGGCCCCTCTCCCTCCTGAGAAGGCTGCAAAACCCACTTAGCCCATGGGCAAGTATTTGCTAAGCTAGGGCCAGGGGCTGCAGCAAGGGAATGGAACTGTCTGGTTCACCAGAACATTCCAAGCACCTAAATCAATATTTGATAGACATGAAAGAGGCAAACTGACAGTATGGGTTTAGAGGTGAACACTGAGGGGCTGTGACCAGAAGGGGGTCCTTCTGGGGGGGGGTCAAAGAAAAGGGGTTCGAGAGGCAGCTCAGCAGGCTGGAGCACATAGGTTGTGTGCAGGAGGCCCAGGCTTGCTCCCTGGCACCACCACAGTGACTCCTGGAGCACTGAGCTGGGAGTAGGTGATGAGCACTACTGGTTTCACCTCCCTCAACCCCCCCCCCAAAAAAAAAACAAAGAAAAGGATACACAGTGAAAACTAAATGAAGGGCCAGCCAAGGCAAGGACTGGGTTCAGAACCATCTAGACAGAAGTAAAGTGAATCTCCCAGAACGAAGAAAGCTGGTTGGTGTGGCCGGAAGGGAATGTGCAGGAAGTGCAGGGTGGAGATGAGAGGAAGGCAGGAGCGAGGTCTGCAGGGGCCCCTGGCCCTGGGAGGGTTGTTTGAAACAGCCCAGGAGCTCTCTGGGTAAGGACAGTGTCAAAGGCGATCCCCAAACAGCAGCTGAGGGTGCGGGAGAGCGGGGCTCCGACTATTGAGAGGTGACCCCATCGCTCTCTGCAGTCGAGGGGTGTATAAATTCTGGATGGTCACAGCTCCTTCTGCATTTGCTGCCCCTCCTTGCTTAGAACTAAGAACAACCTTCGGCGGAGCCAGATAGTCTGTCCAGAACTCGCAGAAACCAAAGCAGCAGGCCTGCTGGCAGCGGCCAATGGCACCTGCCTTATGTGCTCCAGGGCCCAAGTTCAAATCCTGGCACCACCTGGTCCCCTGAGCATGGCCGGGGTGGCCCTGGAGGCCCCCATCTCTGGCAGAGGGAAGCTCTGGCACCACTGGGCCTGCGGCAGTCCCGCGTGGCAGAGCCTGAGCACTAAACCATCTGGCCTGGCTGGCAGTGTCACTGGGAGTGGTCTCTGAGCAGTGCCTGGGAAGCCCAAGGAATAAATAAATAAATGCAAACGGAGCTCAGAAGTAGGTCCTCCCATCCCCGTGCCACAGATGTGGGAGGCGGCATTACGATCCTGACCACCCCTCTGAACCTCAAGCACCCCCTCATCCCCACGCACAGTCCTCTCTTGGATTCGACCCACCCATGGTTCTCATTAGCCCCACCCCGAGCAGGAGACAAGCGCTTGCAGGGGATTCATTCGGGCCAGGCCCAGTCAGGGCGGTGGAAAGCAGTTCCTGCCCTCATGGATCTCACAGCAGCAACTCAAGAATCGCCCCGACATGGTTACGGACCTGCAGCGCTCAGTCAGGTGATTTCCCAGGCTCTGGCTGAAAAACTGGAGCCTCTGGGGGCCAGAGAAGGCTCAGGGGGTCGGAGCACATGGAATGGGCTGGAGAGCAAGCTTTGCAGGCACAAGCATCCCCAGCACTGCATGGTTCCCCCAGGGACCCCTCAGCACCGTGCTGGCGAGCAGTCCTTAAGCATGGCCTGATAAGGCCCCCAAACCAAAAACAACAAAAAAAGCTGTAGCTTTTAACCGGGTAGGACCCACTCCTCCACGACATCCGGCTTCTCCGCCAGGGAAACTAAGGCCTGAGCTCGCTAGTTGCTAACACGGGAGGGGGAGGGGGGGTGGTCAGAGCCACATCTGTGAATTCCCGGCAGACTCAAGGCTCTCACACTTGATAACATCTGGTTGCCGGGTAACACCCCTCCCCCAACCCAGCACCGCTTGGCCTGGGCCTGAGGTCTCCTGGCCTTGAGTGTCCCCAGACACGGGAGCCCCTGGTGGGGAGAGGGGGCAGGCATGTGCCTCCCGAGGAAGCTGAGGCCCTGCGTGGAAGGACCTTGCCCAGGGCCACGCTGAGGGAGAGTCCAGGTGCAGCCCAGGGCTGGGCTCAGCAGGAAGCCTTTCTTCTCCTCCTGCCAGAGGGAGCTCACCCACCCGGCCACGCCCCCCAACACACAGGCCACATTAGGAAGTGCACCTGAAGGTCATGAGCTCGGTCCAGCCCACCAGCAAAGGGACAGGCACGCACCTCCAAAATGCCCTCCTGGGGCCATCCCCCCAGGTGGGCGCTCAGAAACCACGCCCACAAGGGGGACAGGCTGGCACCTAGGCCACGCCCTCCCCTGCATGAGCCCCTCTGCAGACTCACACAGAGCCCTGCCAGATGCACCAAGGCAGTGCCTGTCCCCACCGTGCCGGGGCTTTCCTGATCCTGCGAATGAGAAAGGGGGGGGGGGGGCGCAAGGCCACAGTCCCTGATGCAGAGTGCGCATGCGTCCACACTGTCTTGGCAACAAACTCCTTGGGTGAGGCCTCAACCTGCCCGATTCCAGAGCAAGGGGCGGGGGTGCGGCGCGCCCACAAGCCAGGCAGGTCTGACTCAGAGGAGAGGAATGTTGGGGGAGGAGGACACAGCTGCCCAGGTGGCCCTGCTGGAACCCTCTCGGCTGCCCCTGCCGCACACCTTTCTCCCACCCAATTCTGGTGGTGCCCACCAACCAGGAGGCAGGATGTCCTGGACTTGGGTCTCA